TAAAAATAGATTTTCAGATGATCCTAATAATTTTTTACATGAAAATTACATGTTATGATAAAATTTGGAGGTACGCCTTAATTGGATTGTTTAATATTGCAACCTTATAGAAACCACACCTTTTATATATACATAATGTCCCAAACATAAATTAAATGAAAGTTTGCAACAAGACCATTATCTTTGGTGGTCACAATTAATCTTGACAATTGGATGTGAAATTTGGTAGCTGCATTTATTCCATTAACTAAGCTCAATGTTCAAAAGGATTGTATACAATGAGACCATTTACCTTTGATGCAAGGAGGTCACAATTATTTGTAACGATTTGATGTAAAAACTGACAGCTTGGGTGTGTCACATAGTTTAAAAAAATTAATTTTGAAGTTTGGGCATGGTTAATGGAATAAATAAAACCATCTAATTTTACATCCAATGGCCAAGATTAATTGTGACTACCTTGTACCAAAGATAAATGGTCTCATTGCATACTTTTCCTTTGCAAAATGCTCCAACAAATAGTGATCAGCAGAGCATTGTAACATCTGCAGACTTAATTGGGCCATAATTGCAATTAAGAAAACTCTTTCCAAATGTTACAGGCCTAACCCTAAGTCCGAATCCTAATATATGTAGTGCTATCTAATGGGTTACCAAACATTCATTTAAGCCAGGAACCATAGTTGTGATGACATGACAAATTTGGGAAAAAAGGAATAACCTCAAGTGATCAAGTTAGTGGATTGCCACAACATGATGTTTTGAGTTTCATTCATACTTTAAATAAAGACTTAATCCCTATTAAATTACCCAAAGAAAAAAAAGAAATAAAAAGAAATAGACATGTTTGGGAAATAGTGGCCATTCCTATGGACTCAAAACTGTTACTCCATGTCTTCTTAAGAGCAAACAACCGAGACATTTTTAACTCTCTCTTTGTGGAAGATCTTCCTTACTTTTACTCTACTTCCTTCCTTTTTTTAATTAATGAAACACCAAATTTTATCGAGATATTATCAGGTGGGTCTTTCTTGTTGGGTATTTATAAAATTTTATCACATAATAAATGAAACTAAATGGTTTGATGGTGCTGTAGCCCTCGCTTCATAACTCATCAAAAATTGCTATTCAAGCTTTGAAAAACTTTTATATCGATCATCTCGTCTAAAAATCATGGTTGTGAAAAAAAGTTAGGATTTTTGGCTCTAAAAATAGTGTATATTGTAATAAATTATGTAGACCGTACATTCCGACCTAAAAATAAGTGTTCATAGATCCACAAGATCTGTATTATTTTTTGAGTTTCAAATTTTAATATCGGTATTGGAAATTTATTTTAGAGCCTCATGGAGATTTTCGATACCGAAAGTGCTTTCTGGACATCAATTTGAGATGAGGTTTTATTTTATTTTCATAAAGCCTAGGCCGTATGGAAACTTCATCCTAAATGAAAGTTATAATATATTATGAGATTGTATACAATGAGACCATTTACTTTTAATACAAGGTGGTCAAAATTAATTACACCCATCCGATATGAAATTTGATAGCTTAGGTGTGCCACAAATTTCGAGAAAAATTCTTTTGAAGTTTGAGGTTGGCCAATAGAATAAATGCAGCTACCCAATATCACATCCAAACAAAAGGTAAATGGTCTCATTCTATACTTTTCCTCATGGAACATATATAAATTCCCTATCATACCTTTTATTTAGTCAAGTCTTTATAATGTAACCTATTTTAGATATGGATGCGGTTTTATAGAGCCTAGGCTCTAAGCAATCAAAGTAAAACACACCTTCAAATAGTGTCAAGAAATGTGGTGTCAATAATGAAAATCTTCGTGATAGATTTAAAATATATTTGCATATTTAATTATAAATTTAAAGCTTCAAAACTAGTGTAGATCAAGTAGTTCTATGAAATTCTTGAAAATTGATGATCCAAAAATGCATTGCAAGATACACTATTTTCAAAATTTGAAATCCATTTTTTTTTCATATCCATGCATCTTGATGTCGAGATGATCAATTTGTGGATATTTAGGCATCAAAACAACCTCTTCTAATGAAATTTTTGGGGTGAGATTTAATTTGATTGTTTAGAGCCTCGGCTCTATATAAACTTGTTCCATTAGTTTTTCAATTGAAAGTTTGAATAAGTTTTAAACCTCTTTCAGAAATTAAAATTTAGATGACAGATTTTTAAGGTATTTCTTAGGCAGGACTGTTGGTTTTTAAAACATTAAATTCTGAGTTGTATTTAAGGTTTTTCTAAAATTTAGGATTAAAAAATAATAAAATGATAGAATTTTGTAGCATTAGGTAACTGCGTTACTTATTAGAAAGCAATCTTTTATTTGAGTTTTTCTTTTTCCTCAAAATTTAGTATGTTCGTTATTGTCATCTATGGTTACTATGGAGATAATATTAGGGAGTCCCATATTATCGTGATAAATTCATTTTATCATAAAATTTCAGAGACATTAACGTCCCTTGAAAGTTTACTAAACTCTTTTCTGATGGTAACACAGAATTGCACGTACCGAGAAAATGCCTTTTATTATTGGAAAAAGTTTATATAAGGTTGCAACCTGAAAACGTAGAATTAATGATGCACCTCAAAATCCATCATAAAAGGTTATTTGGATGTTGGAAAACTCTCTAATTGATCATCTCGACATCAAGATGTATGAATATGAAAAGAAAAAAAGATTTTGAATCCGTGAAATAGTATATTAATATTATCTAGACTTTCTATTTTCAAGATTTTGATGTGTTTATAGATCTACTTGATTTGAACCATTTTTAGAGTTTAAAATTTTTAAATTAGAGATGAAAATAGATTCTCAAGCCATCCTAGAAATTTTTTTTATCAAAATTACATTCATGATAAATTTTAGAGGTGTGCTTTAATTGGATTGTTTAAGGTTGCAACCTTATGCAAACCACACCCTTTATTATTTTCTTTCTATTTATAATGGGAAAAAGTTTATATATAGCCAAGGCTCTAAACAATCAAATTAGAGCCCACATCAAAAATTTCACGAGAAGAGGTACATTTGATGCCCAAATATTATCAAATTGATCATCTCAACATCAAGATGCATGGACAGGAGAAAAAAATGGATTTCAAGTTTTGGAAATAATGCATTTTGTAACGTATTTTTGGACCGTCAAATTTCAAGATTTACAAGTTTTCATAGATCTGTTCGATCTATATTATTCTTGAAGCTTTAAATTTTGTAATTAAAAATAAATAAATTTTAAGTCTATCACAAAGATTTCCAGTATTGAAACTATATTTCTCGATAGTATTTGAAGGAGCGCTTTACTTTGATTGTTTGGAGCCTTGGCTCTGTACAAACCCCACCTATCATATTGAGTGACTCAACATTCACCAATGATATGATTAGTCGTTGGGTAGAAGGATTAAGTTCAAAAACCATTAAATGGACATATGGGTTATAGGGACATAAATATTTGCATCTACCCAAAAAGTAAAAGAAATGTTTTTTTAGTTGCTAATAATAATCAAAGTTTTAATTTCAAGCAAATGAAATTCCTCAAGATTCTTTCTACAAAAGGAAGTATAAGACATAATTTCCTTTATCACCATGAATAGTGACTCTTCTTTTTATTCTTAAGAGTAAAAAATCAACTTGGTCAAAGTACTCAGTTTCAAGGTGATTTATTTGAGCGAGTCTGATTAACTCACCCGAGTTCAAATATTTTTTTTTAAAAAAAAATGAAGATAAAACAATATTTATAGATAACATAAGTGCCACTTTTGTGATCTAAATAGTAAAATGGTGTGCCGGTTAGCTCTCTGTGTGTAAATGAACCACCTTGCAAGAAGTCTCGTGTTCTATTCCTATGAGGGTTTGACGGGGTTAAAATTTATTCCACAGTACTTAACAGGAAAGACTTCTTACCACATTTATCTTAAAGTTTGAGGTATCAATATAACTGAACTAAAAAACATGAGGGTTTGACGGGGTTAAAATTTATTCCACAGCACTTAACAGGAAATACTTTCTTACCACATTTATCTTAAAGTTTGAGGTATCACTGAAAAACATTATCGTACAACCTGCTCCTCCAAAACTTATAGGCTTACTTTTTAGTTTTGAAAATCAAAACAGAACAAGAATTCTAGCAACTTTCTTCAAAGCAAAGCCATTATTAAGAGGAAAGTACTCTATGCTAGCATAGGGCTGGCAATGGGCCGGTCGGCTCAGTCTGAACCTAAATAACCTAGGACCTGGGCCATAGAATGTGTCCTGCAGGCCGTGCCAGACCAGGCCCATAGGGCTGGCTAGGTTCCTCCTGACCCGGCCTTAAATTTTCCTCTTTTTTTTTTTCTCTTTATTTGTTCTTTAACTCTTCTTGGCCATGGCCTGGGCTGGCCCTGTGGGGACAAAGGCAGGGAAGGGGCTGGCCGGGCTCCGCTCGTTGCCTTGAACCTCATATTAACTCAAGAAAGCAGGCTTGAGATATTCAATTCTAAGTGATGGCTTTGTTAATCCTTTCCATTCTAATAATCTCTAGCCATCAATAGAGGTTCTGATGGGCTTGAACCAGGCAGGGATATTGGTAAGGCCCGCCTCACCTATAAAAAATACTTAATGAACATGCCCAAGCAAGGTGACTAACAAAATGAACCAGTACTGTCTCTTTCTGCATGTTTTTATTGAAACCTTGAAGGAAAGGATTGTAAATGTCTATGTACATTTGCAAACTCTCCTTGCTGTGACACTTTTTTTTTTCCACATAATTATTTCAGTAAATTAGCATTTAGATTTCTACAGGCATTCCCATGGCTATTTATTCATTCCCTGTGACTATAATTGGTTAAACTGAATCAATGTTCTTCAATTGATGATGTTCTCTCTTATAGGTTCTTTTGAAATCCTCAGTCTTTGATAAGAATTCTCCTCAATTTGTAAAGCTGGATAGAAATTAGAAATACTGGAGAAATATCAAAATTTCCAAAAGCTATACTGATAATTGTTCAGGTAGAGCTCAGTCCTACCCGATTATTCATTTCATTGCATAATTAAATATCAATCAATGCATAAACTCTATACAAACAGAAATTGGACTGCTCCTTTCATGAAACCATACCAATTCATACCCACCAAAGGATTTCCCCCCCTCTGAAATTAGGGCAAATGGTTAACCAACTGAAACAGCACACGGTATCCCTGGCAAAAATCCCATTCACAGTCCGAACAGACTACCATATCCACTAATCCATCATCCATGGATTTAACCAGACTACAAATTCCGACACGTTCCAGCACCTAAAGCCTAATGCCAAACTTTTATTCACCAGAAAACATGAATCCCGTTCGTCTTTCTGCTATTCCACCCAAAGCATGGTTAAATTCAGGTGAGAATAACAAATAATAAAAAAAAAAAAGCCAAAAGTTCAACCCTCCATACCCTGATTTAATAGAACTCATCTTGATCGGGCTTTGGCGATGTGAGCAATGCGGTATACAGCCTGAGCCGGTCCTCGCTTAGTGATGTGCTCCTCGACAGCGGCCTTCTCGGCCGTATAAATGACAATGAAGTGAGGGCCAGTCTATGCCTATGACGCCGCCATGCCAATTGAATAGCCACCGCAGCCCATGTTCTCCACCCCGGCGAGTAGTACCGCGCACTGCGCTTGACACGCTCGTTCATGAATGTGTACCTGAAATGCTGGGTGACATACTTCACGTCGGCAGCCTCGAGGACAAATGTCTCTGCGGTCTCCAGACTTTTGAGAGTGGCAGATGAGGGGGGAAGACGCTCAACAAAGGGGCGGCGGAGGCACCAGGAGAGGAGCTCATCCCCACTGAAGTTGCCGGGGCCAAGCATGCAGCTGCTCTGAAGGCCGTTATGCAGCACTTGGGAGCTCTGGAGGTGGCCGCGCACCACAAAGAGCATGCGTTCGACAGGGTCGCCCTCGCGTGTTATCTGTTTCATAGAGTCCAAGGAGGCATGAACCAAAATGAATGAAATTTAATCCCCAAATTTCCGATTTTTGCTGTGATCGGAGACCACTATCTGGTAAATCAGTGTGATCGGAGACCCATATTTTTAGAGTGATTTTACATTGGGACCCTAAAATTTTAGGTAAAATACGAAATGCTCCACTTATAGTTGGATAATACTAAGAAGGTCGGTCAACTTACTTTTTATTTTTTTTATTTTTCTAAAATCGAACCTCGGTCAACTTGAATTTTGAATTTTTTTTAGTTTGTATTTTTTTTTTTTAGTTTTTTTGTCAGTAGGGCAGTGCTTTAAAGCTTGGGGCACAACCCTAATAACGAAAAAACTTAAAAAAAAATCAAAATTCGAGTTAACAGAAGGGCAATTTTGAAAATAAAATAAAAAAAAAGTAGGTTGGCCAACATTCTTTGTAATTTAAACCTATAAATGAAGTATTTTGTATTTTACATAAAATTTTAAGATATGTATCTAAATTACTCTTCTAGTGTAGTTACCGCAAGAAGACACAAACAAAGGTCAATTGTATAAAGCTGAGGCTCTAAACAATCAAAGTAAAGCGCACCATCAAATAATGTCGAGAAATGTGGTTTCAATATTAGAAATTTTTGTGATAGCTTTAAAGTATATTTTCATCTTTAATTATAAAATCTAAAGCTTCAGAAATAGTGTAGATCAAACAGATCTATGAAAATTTAAAAATCTTGAAAATTGATGGTCCAAAAATGCATTACAAGATGAACTATTTCCAAAACTTGAAATCCATTTTTTTTTTCTCATGTCCGCATCTTGATGTTGAGATGATCAATTTAAGGATATTTGGGTTTCAAAACACCCTTTCCTAGTAAAAATTTTGATATGGGCTCTAATTTGATTGTTTCAGAGTTACATTGTCTTTTTCCATTTACCAATACTCGCTTAAAGATCAGACGTATCGCAATTAAGAAGGAAAATGTGCATAGAAAAGGACCCCTCCTTGATTACCCGTCCACGTATTGCAACTCAAAGGAACAAAAGGGACTTGCCCTTTGTGAGTGGAAGGTTATGGTCTCTGGGAGGTCCCCTGTCTGTCTATAACAGGGACATACCCCATTATTAGTCTGGATCTGAGAGGTCCCGATTTTCATTGTGGGGTCCTACATGGGTGGTAACTTTGTTCATAAACTCGGCCGGTCCAACTTGGAACCTGCCGATCAAACCATAACCAGCCACATGTTGGTCTGAGCTATGTATTTAAAAATAAATAAAAAATCATATATAAAATTTCAAAAAATAAGGATTTTGTTTGTAATGTGTTTTGGAATGTATTTTTATCATTTTGACAAAGATTTGGTAAGTGCTTTGCTTATGAGTACTTATTTTTACATTTTTTTAAAAAATCTCAAAAATACCCTTGAGTAGAAATCCATTTTTAAAAATAAATTTTGTCCACTACTTTTCAACTTTATTTAGATGTGCTTTGTTTAATCATGCATTATATATTTTTGAAGTTTTTTGTATTTTTTTAACACTTTTTGGAATGGCCAAAACCTACCCGGTTAGGCCAGTTGAACCAGCCGGTTTACTAGTTAGTCAGTCCTGGCCCTTGGAAGGTTTCAAATGCTAGTTCTTTTTTTCAAACACCAGGTGGTAATTCCTTCCTACATCTGCAATTATGGGAAGGGCTTTGATTTAATTATAAAAATAATATAAAGGCATAAGGTATTTGATTTGGGCTTGAGTGGTCAGCAATTGATGATGTCAAACAATACTGCATATCATGTTTAATTCCTACCATTGAACTATACAAAAATAAAAATAAAAATAAAAATAAAGGTGTGGGAAAAGACTTACCGTCTCCCCCTTGGGGAAGATTACAGACTTGACACGGTCGCATATGTTCTCAAGGACCAAATCATCCATGTGTTGAAACAACGGTACCTGTATTTTAACACACACATATAAATTGATAAGGCCATAACCCGGTGTTGGTCCCACCTAAGCAAGTCCCGAGAGAGGTGAGCTGAAAACGGTCCCAACCTTTTAGCTTATGTACAAAGTAGCCGCTCCCAAGATATATATAAAGTGATATGATTCACATATAAATAATCTAATTAGTAGCCGGGTAAAGAGTATCATTGTTATTTATTAAATTTGTTAAATTAATTATAACGGGCCCCTAAGCTACCCCCCGTTGTCACCGTATAACCAACCTGGTGATGAACCATCAAAGCAGTGGCCCAAAACGTTAGCTTCTCTGCTCATAGGAAGGGGCATGCTACAACCCATGTTGAATGGTGGAGATTGGACCTATTATGGTCCAAGAGCGGTTGGACAGTCAGGATTTTTTTGGGTAAATAACAGTCGGGATTGCGCACGTATATTTGTGTTATTTTGGAATTGCATATATATAACTCCTTTTTTTATTACAAAGAGGTCATGATTGTTCTTAGCCAAGAGCTTAGGATGTGTTGCAAATATTGAGAAATTTTCTTTTCAATTTTGAAATTGGTCAATAGCAAATCGTCGCCCATCTTATTTTAAATCTAACTACCAAATCAAATAGTTTTATTAATATAAATAATAATCTTATGAGACCTTTCCACACTCAGTGTGTAGTACCTCAAAGGATCATCATTAAATTTAGCACAGAACTCAATAAAAGTCAAGTCCCTGTGATAAATTTTCTAAAAGATCTGTACCAAATTTAATGGTGAATCCTTTGGGGACCTACACAC